TCATCATTACCATTATTCTCACATCTTCTGTTTCCCTGCTAGCACAGAACCAAACTCACAAAGAGTAGGTGTAGATTTCTGCCTGTCAATCTGCTTTTCAGGTCAAAGATCCTCTGCACAAAGCAAACTGCCTAAATCTGTGAAGAACTTAACACATGACCTCGGCTATCTATCCTTACAAGGAGTTACTGACTGTACAAGCTGTGAGCTATGATACTGCTCCCATGAAAAGTGCTCCCAAGAAGCTGCACTTGAAATCATATGAGCACCAAGTCAACCATTATTTCCCACTTTTGCCTACATCCATAGGAGCCACTTCACACTTTAAAACTCTTGAACTGGAATTCTCATCGTCCTGGAACTAAAAGAGTGAGGAACTAAGACCCAATTTAATTATGTGCATGTTCTACTAGTACCTCCATAAACATTTTTTATAGTATGACACATGGAATGTTGTACCTGATAACATGGTAGCATAACACAGCCCCCTTCAAAAGATTAGGTTGATGAGTCAGAAACTATGCACAGAATTTGTAAACAGGAAAATGACTTTTGCTCGGGCAAATGACTTTAACTTCATTAACATTAGTCACTTTTTAAAAGCACATAGAAATGAAGAATTAAGGCATTAGGATTATCTGTAGCACAACCCACTCACTAAGTCTTCTAATGTACACTTACAAAATTTCGAAGGCATTGGCCTCTCAATGCTCCTGAGAACTACAGCTTATTTCATAATTTATATTCTACCTTTGCATACCAAACATTCACTTTTTTTTCTTACTTGATATTTTGTGTGTGTTTGAAAACAACTGCTAAAATTCTGTTCTGCAATTACGCTGGTAGAACAGAAACAGTGCAATGCACAGCCTCTAAATACCACTAATCAACAACTCAGGGCTTAAGGATAAGACAAGAAAGGATGCCCCAAATTAAAAAACACCAGATACTTGCCCATAATTTTGCTCTTCAGTTACACCAAAGCTCTTGCTTTTCAAACTTAGAGAATGTACCAGTATGAATTTTTAAGTCCTATTAATTTCAATTGGATCAGTTTGAGCATTCAGATCATCTTCCCCTTCAAATCAATGGGATTTTAAAAGGATTAATTCAAGTGGTTCATGCCCATGATCCTCATATAGTACCTCCAGAGAAGTTCATATATATAAACATATCACACACACACATCTGTATATGTATATAACATTTTCCCTGATATAATAATTTCCCCCGATATAATTTCCCTGAATAATAAGAATCATGAGACCTTATAGAAAGTCAACTCTAATAGAATGCTGCAGACATCAACTCTTCTAAAAATTAGTAGCTCTAAATAAAATGTGCAGCATTAAGTATATATAACTGCCCAGGAGAAAAGAATGAACTCACAGGATGATAATGGCCCATTCAACTTCTAAAGAAAATACAAACCACACACCTCAAGTTTAATTTTATGCAGAGTTTAAAGATGTTAAACAGCTGCTTTACTCCACAAATTTGATAATTCAGGCCATTTCCCAGCAAGTTTCATAAACACCTTTCTAATTTCATGCACAAGCGGCATCATTAACTTAATGGCATTCCTCTGATATGGCCAAGCATTTTCTTAATGTAACTTGATGTGAGACAAAATAAGGATACTACATAATGCTTTCCTGTGGTTCTCTGTTAGGCACTGAACAGGAAAAGAAGCTTGTGAAAACAATTCTACAAATTCAACAGCTTATTTTTCACCCTGTTCCTTTCCTACCAAAGGTTAGACAACATCGTGGCTATTCAGACTTGAGATACAGCCGCTCTGTACACAACAATGGTGTGGTGCATCCAAATCTGTCTCCAGGATTTGTTAGTCAATATGTTATTTTCCTCCTTGCACTTCTCCTGCTGTTTCTTTACCTTGAATGATCAGCTGTAACGAGCTGAAGTTTTCATTTCTCATTATGTGACCTAAATATGAGAATATTTCTGCATTATATGTGTTTTATAATTTCTTGGTCTTTATTCATTTTTCCTACTTTCCTACCTTCACTGAGTCACCTTCTCAAACCAAGAAACGTGTATCCACATTTTAATTACTTTTTTTGGAAAATTCATAAAGATATTTTTTCAATTCATAGAGTAGAGATGATATCACACAGCAGCACACAATGCATGTACTCAAAGCCAATTTTAATTTTTTTGTTCTACATTATTCTTCTTGAAGCCGCTCAAGGCCATCTGACTTTTACTGATCAGGGCAAATTCACCTAATTAGGGCAGCAGTTCTAAGGTTTTTTTAACTGAGTGTATTCCTCATTTCATTTTTTAATAGTCTTCCAAATACAACTTACAATGGAAAAACGATTCAACAGCTTATCTATTCATAAAATGACAATAAATTAAAATATATAATAATATACTTGAAAAAATAGTGTTGAAATATCCATCAGCAGTAAACACCAAAAAAGGTGAAACAAGCGATGATGAAGAGGTGAGTTTTAAAATTCTCTTAGAAGCAGCAGTACACAAGGTCAGCAACATGTCTTCTGTGAAAGGATTTGACAGGATGGGGGCCACTGGTGGGAAAGCTCCCCAACTACTAAATCAAGCTTATTTAGCAGCAGATAGGAATGGGACTTGAAGGGACGTGGTGGCGCTGCGTGTTAAACCGCAGAAGCCTCTGTGAGGACATGGTCAGAAGACCAGCAGTGGTAAGATCTAATCCACGTGATGGAGTGAGTGCCCGTCGCTTGTCCTAGCTCCTGCCACCCTAGCAGCTCAAAAGCATGTAAAACTGTGAGTAGGTAAATAGGTACCACCATGGTGGGAAGGTAATGGCGTTCCATGTCTAGTTGCGCTGGCCACGTGACCATGGAAACTGTCTACGGACAAACTCTGGCTCTACAGCTTGGAGACGGGGTTGAGCACCACCCCCTAGAGTCGGACACGACTGGACTAAATGTCAAGGGGAACCTTTACCTAGGAGTGGGACTTAGAAACAAAAGAGGGGGGGGGTTCTTTTGCTTTGGGATTTCTTTGCTTGTTTCTGAAAGAGATTCCTTTAAACACAAAGGATTCATTTAAATAAAAGAGGAGAACACAAAAATGTGTGGATTTTCATGTTTCCCTCTTTTGTTAAATTCTTCCTTCACCCAAATTGCCAAGGAAATTTCCCCTGGCTTGCCATAGTCACCATGCACTGCTATGTGCCTCCTTGCCCACCAGTCCCAGTCTCTCCCCTCCCTTGCTTCATCTCACCACCAGCATGTACCTCTTTGTCCACCACCCCTGCTTTTCCCCCTTCCTTTGCTTGCTTCACCCCTCACTGTAGGCCTTCTTTGTCTTGCTACCGCCATACTCCTCCTTGCTTCACCAGCCTGCTCTAATCCTTCCCTCTCTTTGCCTCACCACTGTGGCCATTGTACTCCCTGTCTTGCCAGCCTCACTCTTTCCCCTTCCACTCCTCTTGATGCCATCAGGCACTTCCTTAACAAATGAGGAAAAAGAAAAGAAAATGACCCCAAAGTGGCACCACTTTTGTTATAAATGAAAGGGGAAGTGTGAAAAAAATGCAAGTGGCAATCCCCCAAAGAAACAGGGGAAAAACAAAAATAAAAGTTTCCACTGCAAACCAATGAATAGTGTTTCCAAAGTTTATTTTAAAACTTGGGTGAATTCATATGGGTTAGGTCATCTTTCACATCAGTTGGGCCCAAATCATTTGAAGCGTTGGATATCAAAAGCAGCATTTTGAATTGGCCTTGGAAATATACTGCAAGGCCTGGTAGATAATATAGCCCAGTAAGTCTTTGTTGCAGCTAGACAGTCAGAGCAAACAATGCCGATAATAAGTTCTGAGCCATCTTCAAAGGCAACCCTCAACTGTTATAGACCAAACATACTAACAACAATCCCTCCAAATGTAACCCTAGAAAGTCCTGGGAAAGGTGCTGACTACTAAAGAATAATAAGTATTGAGCCAAAGTTTCATAGAGGACATTTTGCTAATAAGTATTCTGATATGTTCTTACTTTCCTGATAATAGAAGATTACTTTGAATAATTATTTCCAAAAAAAGAGCTTCTATTGTTTTTAGGATTGTCTCTTAACCAACAAGCAACCTCATGATATATGAGAAAGACATTAGGTACAGGGAAATGTGGAGGAAGCAAAATGGTGGCCAGTCTGCCAATCAGTGTATAGTGGACAAGACCTCCCAGTATTTTCTGAGTGCTACTGAAACCTCAGCTAACCCTCTCTGACCTCCTTGTTTATTTATCATTTATTTATTTATTCTCTTTAAGGTTAGTTGCCATCGTCATGATACCTGAGAGAAAAATGGACGTTGACTAGAAAGGTTGGTCCGCAATATCTGTTTGTATTTGGAGTTGGGTTCCTCTTGAATGGGCAAGTAGCAGGCATTAACTTTTCAAAAACAAACAAACAAAAAACCCACATTGCTTCTTATTTGTTGGCATGGATTGACCCAGCTGCTTACATTTTTGGATTCTCCTGGCAGGGCAGATGGTTATAGCTACTGATATGACAAGCATCTGCACTTCCACATTTACTACTACACCATGACTGCCAACACAGAGTAGTGGCTGTTCCCACTTGCAATGGAAAAAGCAAAAACAAAACAGAACAAAAAACATCCCTAGGCAGTTAAGAATAAAACTTTGCTACAACCATTGCTAATGAAGAACCTCGCCTCTAAGAAACAACAAAGAATTTTTCTTTCCTTGGGAGAAATTCAATAAATCCTTCACCCCAGTTTCTCTGCCCACAAATATAGTGGGGAATTTCAAAAGGCTATTTCAGTATAGCTATATTCCGAATACCAGCTGAATTATTCTGTGCAGATCAGGAGATTCCCACACCTGAAATACTTTCATTTATATAAACTAAAACCTATCTGGATTATGTTATCCCCTCTCCACCCAGTACAAGGAAAGGCAGCTAACAATTAATGGAAAGTGTTTCATCTAACACAATTATAATATGAACAAAGGCGAACTTACTTGATGTAATATGGAACTTTGTTATGTGAGACTGATCTCTGCCATGGTAGCTGAACAGAGGCTGTAGGAAAAAAAATACAGGGCACAATTACAAAATAGATTAAATATTGGTAATAAGCATACACAGACACACAAACAGAGATGTATTTGGACTATATAATCAAGATCAGAATGTGGGGAACTAATCTAGGATCCAGACATGCAGATTTCTCTCTCTCCTGGAAAGAGTTCTATAAATATCATCAACACTTCTCATCTAGTACATCAAAATCTACAGCAACTTTTCTGTGGTCATCATGGATAATCATGGATTGTTGGAAGCGGCTGAAAGTGTGATACGAAGTAAACAACACAGTGCTCCTTTTAGATTCTTATATAACAATGTTATACATGTCTAGGTCCCTTTGAGTTCAATGGGGTGCACTCTCACAAAGTTGGGTATTTAGGATGGCCATCAACCAAAACCATTCGTCTCTCTCTCTCTCACACACACACATCATCAAACAGGTGAATCAAGCAAGGTAAAAGGAAGTTTCGATGCTACCCTCACATTCAAACTGTGGTAAGTTACCTTTTTTCCTGCCCTTGCTCAATACTACAATGTGGTGATAGCTGTACATGAATAAGTGCTTTCCCTACGGTATCATGAATTTCTCTAGGAGCAGAGGATGACCTGTGAGCACTCGTTCTAATGCCATCAAAGCACAGACTTTATGTGACAGAAGGGAAGAAACTCAGTGGCCCTCATTTTCCTTTGATCTATCATGAATGCTCCACTGAAAAGTTTCAGGACCCAGGTTAATTGAACATTCAACACTTGAGAACAAAAATGTGGAAATGCAGCTCGTGATCTGCTTTGGTCAGATAAGAAGGATCTTAAGTTCCTTCAGAATAGCAGCCGGAAAAGTTCAGTGCTGGGTCTGTGTGGCCCTTCAAGGCTGTTTTGTTAGCCCTGGCCCCAACAAACTCCTCTACCCTCAACCCCTAAATGGTTCTTCTTCCAAGAGGACTGATCCAGCCCTTAAGAGGCTGCAAAGCAGGTCTGTAATATTCAGCATCAAAATTATAAGTTAAAAAAAAAAAAAACAGTGACTGACATCTGACTGCTCCACTCCCTTTCATAGGTTTTGGCAGTCCTAAGACCTGCTGAACGTGCCACCTCTGTATTAGAAGTACCAAGGGCCAGACGTGACTAGGCCACTAGTTCTTCCAGGATGGAACTGAACAGAGAGGAGAAATTAAGCCTTTGGCCAGTGCCAAACAAGGTAGGGCTGAGGGATGTGGATATAAAAGTCTGTCCTTTTTGCTATAGGCCTTTCTCGAGAGAAGACGTGGGCTCAGTTTCACTGTGTAAGCTTCAAAAGGGAAACTGCTGTTTACTGATATAGTACCTTCACAATTCTCTCTTCCATTAAAGACAACTATACAGTAGCAATACAAAACAAGGAAACAAATATTATGTGGCCAGCAGAAATATTGCAGAAAGAAAAGCAGTCAGAGGGCTGGGTCTCTCTCCAGATGACAAATCTTAATCATAAGATGAAACAGCATTGAAGACGTTGCAAAGTGAGCTCCCTAGCAAAGAGAACCATGTGTTCTTGTACTGGTTTTCATACATGACAATTTCTGAGCAAAATAAATGTCCATCAATATCTTCTTTATTTCCCTCAGTACAAGTTACTAGAAGTGCAGGTACTGGCTACAGTCCTAGAAGTACCTATCATTTGATCACCACAGAAGCATCTCATAGTATTCCAAATTCTATTAAGGTATTTTCTTTGTGACACAATGAATAAAATTTCTTTGGTTTTAAAAAGTCTAATTACTCTAGGCAAACATTGCATTGTCCATATCTGAAAGTTTGGTCCTGGTTATGCACAATTTTCTAAACCTGGCATGAGAGTAATCTTGGGGTTGTAGCCACATAGGCCCTGTTTGGACAAAAAGAAAAGAACTATACAAGTATCCCAATTATTTTCTCAGAAGTCCCTGCAACCACTTTTCACCCCTCAAAATAAAAGCACAATAACACACATAATGTCTTACTAGCACTCACTGGAAAGAAAATTTTGAGATGCAGGCCCACAATCCCAGTGTGCTTCCTGCAGCAATTTAAGGCGATCCTCTACAGATATCTGTATGTATAAACATATACAAGCAAGAACATTAGTAAAGACTACAAAGCAACTATTCCAACAATCAATATTGAAAACAATGTTCTACAAATATTTTTAGAGAACAGACTTAGATGTAACTGCTGATCACCCTGCCCACTTACATCTGTTCAATTGTTTTTAGTGCTTAAATATAAGTCAAGTAATGATTTCTCTGTAAGCAATACTAATCAATAACAAAGAAGATTTTCACAGAGACTAATACTGCCCATTGAAATCTCTGCTTCCTTCTCCTCTTCCCTTGTCTAAATGTCTGCAGTCAGCATGCCTCATTTTGATGCTATTGATCTTACAGCTGTCTTTACAAGGAACCACTTTGGAGCATGCTGTTTTGCTGGCTGACAGGATGGGCAGACATCCTCCTGGTTTACTAATTAAACCGCTCTTGCACATACAGCGGGAGCTTGGCTCTATAAGGGATAAAAATCACTCCAAAAACAAAATTACATTGCAAGGAACACAGAGATGTCTCAAAAACGTTAATATTTTCACCCTCTCAGAACATATCGCATCTCAGCAGAGTATATATAAACTCTGCAGGTTGCAGATGTCAAACATAAAAGAGCAATCCCCCCTGCTTTCAAACATTTCGCATTTCCCTTCTCCCCCATACCGTGGCAAAAATGTGGTTTTGACTCAGAAACACCCCCCCCCAAAAAAGGGACAATTTCAGATTATCCAGTCATTAGGGATTACTAGACAGTTTTGGTGGAGACAGAAATGTATCCATTATACATCATCCAAACTTTGAAATTGATGATGGTATCTCGAATGGATAGCTTTCCAACCCACACTAGGCCCTGTCATGCAAAGCAGAAACAACACTTGCTTAATTATAGCAGATGTCCCCAGCCATGAACTATTCCAGGCCTCACACCCTCCCAGGCCTGGAAGGTGATGACAGCCATCTGTCATTAAGCGTTGCCTTGGAATGTCCCTAGGGTGTATTGTACTTATCTAGGACAAGCTCATAAGCCACCAGAAGATAGCTAGACCTGCATTAAGTAATGGTTTGCTTTGGGCCATTTGAAAATAAAGCTGCCACTTTTACAAGAATGGTTCTTTTTCGTTCCACACCATTCCACCCATGGCCCAGTAAATACACATGCATTTAAGATGGCCTTGATAGTTGTAGATGAAGGATGGGTTACAAAACGTAAAATACATAAATTTGTTGATAACCATCACCTACAGAGACTCTGTACAGTTTACAAAACTGATACAAATTATACAGGCTAAAATTATGTAATGTGTCTTCAGAGATTAATTCTTTCCTCCAGGTAAGCTACACTGCTATAGATAACAGAAAAAAGGTTATCAGTCAAAGAAAAAAGACTCCAATTTCTAAAGTTGGTGGTGTGACCATCAACCTCCAGGTACACTACAATGGATCATTTTACAAATAACATTAAGCACTGTCACTGGCTTTCGTTTTCCCTCTCCATCCCATTGTCCTTTTGTATTGTATATTTTAGATTATAAACCTGAGTGTGACTATCTTGCTTTGACTGACCTATAAGCTGGTCTAGAATTACTTGTCAGAGCATCTCTCCTTAATGTCATCTGCCCATCCCAGTCGAGGCTCCTCTGTGTGGCCACCCCAAGAGAGGCCCATAAATCCTCTACAAGAGGTAAGGCCTTCTTCATGGTGGCTCCAACTTTATGGAGCCAGCTTCCAAAGGAGCTCCGCCTAGCCCCCTTCCTGTGGACTTTAAGGAAGGAATTAAAGACATTGCTTTTCAGGGCTTTCCACACTGACCCCAGCTGACCACCTTCCCTCTCTTTTTCTTCCCCCTCCTCTTCTTCCCTCCCCTCTTTTCCTCCATCCACTTTGGGATTAGTTAGTGCCATCTGGTTTTTTTAGGTTTTTAACATCTCTATTTTTATTTTTATTATTTTTGTTTTCTATTTTACAAGTGGGATACAAACTGAATGAATGAGTGAGTGAGTGAGTGAATGAATGAATATTTCCAGCTGATAAGCAGAGTATAACTTGTTTAAGTTAATTAATTAAGCAGCAAAGAAATTATTCCTCTTGAAAATAAAAAGAAGAGGAGGTGAACATGCTCTGCAATATTAATCCATAATAGAACAGGATACCTGCAAAAGCTTCCAGCGCATATTGAGATCATCTAGCTGTCGTGATATCTTTAAGGATGGATGAAGATCAAGTGGTGAGAGCTGACTGGATAAATCGTTGACAGCTTTAACTTTCAGGTTGATTGGTGCAATTTCTTCTCTAAATGCCTGGGAACAGTAAACATACACCTGTTCTCAATAAATCATCTCAAAGCAGAGTCACAGCCAGTACGCAGCACATGGAAATGAGCACACTCATTCATTCTCTGTAAAGTTCTTAACCAGTGGCCTCTCCTTAAAGGTTTATGTACAGGAATTTTTTCAAACAAATGCTGTGAAACATTAGGAAAAATATGTAAAATTCCTGACATGTAACAGGAAACAAACAGTCACTAAGTAAATAATGGGGGGGGGGGAGGAATTTTTTTTTCACCCTCACTGGGAACTTTTAAGCGATTATTAAAAACATTTTTATTCAGACAGGCCTTCCCGGACTCTACTTTATCTTGATTCAACAGTTAATGTTCAACCCCACCATCTTTTTCCTTTTCCTATTTTCTTTTTAATATTTACTGATATTATTTTAATCTGTTTAATATTGTATTGATTACTTTATATTTTGTCCTGCTATTGTTTATACACACACACACAGAGAGAGAGAATTTACTGATACTGTATTATTTTAATTTGTTTAATAGTGTATTAATTACTTTATATTTTGTCCTGTTATTGTTTATATATATATATACTCTGTTTTAAACCACCCAGAGTGGGCTGGGTTGCCAGTACTACGTAAACCACCCAGAGTGGGCTGGGTTGCCAGATGGGCAGTATAGAAATCAAAGAAATAAAGAAATACGTAAGAAGGAAAACAAGACAATGGTACTTGAGAGTTCTTGAGCTTCACCTGCAAGTATCAGAACTCACAGCATTTCAATTTATTCAAGGTCCTTCCTCACTTGGAAAACTTTATGCTGTATCAGTAAATTATGAAATTAAAAGTAAGTTTTCTCATCAGCTGAAGGCCCTTGGCACTTTGAAATGATCAGCAGAATTTCCCTCCAGCTCACCACGAATTCTTCCAGGTCAGTCAATTTCAATACTGCTTTTGCTTTTGAGATTGCCAGTAGGCCAACCTAAGTCTCAACAGATGATTCCATTTTTCCTTTGCTGAAGAACATTACAATCCTTTCTTTGCTTTCTTTAATATAATCATCATTAAAGCAGAGGTATTTCCACTAGTCTGGATCAGCATTTTTATGTATTTATATTAAAATAAGAAAGAGAAGAAGATGGTTGTATCATCCTTGAAGCAGCAGTAGTGAAGATGTAAGTGAGGTCTGATCAAGTCCTGCCGGGATATAAATCAAGCTTCACTGATTTATGAATTAATTATTTGAACCAAGAATGCAACATGGGGAAAGGTATTGTATTGTCATGTATAAAGGTATGTTACACTAAATCACTCATTTTCCCCCTCTTAGATTATCTATGAATAGACAGACAATAAGTATCCAGGTGCAATAAAAGTTCACTTCAGTATAATACTTCTTTATATTCTTTGCCTTCCAGTTTTCTACAGTCTAGGATTTCTAGACTTGCAGCCATATGATATATGAAAGCCTATGCTTTCATATGGAACATACTGGGAATTACCTGGAACTGTATTTATTTTCCTTCATTGGAAGGTAACCACAAGGATTTTCCAGCTTCGAAATATTATAACTGCACTCACATTTTATGTTTACCTTCAAATGCTACCAGGCAAGGCCAAAATATAGTTCGTTGTTATTGTTGCTTTTTAAAAAATGGCAATTCAGTTAAACAATGAGATGACAAACTGATGCTGCAAAAATCAAGATACCCCCAAAGGTTAGCCTAAACAGCAACAGCTGGCTATCTTATTAAGAATGCAGTGACCTGTAAAGAGCTGTAAATGCTCAGGGAATATGTCCTCTGAGTTCTTCATAGGTACCTCTGCCTCCCTCTAGTCATGTCATTCTTCCTAGGCACACCTTTTACTCCTTTGTACCTCCTCCTGCCACCACACTGCTGCTGCAATTTTTTTTAAGGTTGCAAAGTGGTATCAACTATGCATGAGTTCCAAATAAAGTACATGAAATGATTCATGACTTGAGTTTATTTTATCAACATGCCTCTTTTACCATGGAGGCAGGAAAAGCAAGGAGATGGCATAAACCATGAATATCTAAGTACAGTTTTGCATTGCCAGTACTAAAAATTTCAAAGGGACATTCATTAAGTTTCTATTGCATTCATGAGGGCATTTGTGCTTACTCTTGTTTTATCCATGTGATCCTGGAATGAGTCAACCAGTAGCTCTCCAACAGGTTTCCAACAGTTCCGCACATTCTCTGCCTCTCTCAAGTCAGCATCGAGGTCATCCATAGAACACTGCAAATCCTTCAGCTTCTCCAGGGCTTTGTCCACTTGTTTCTGCCAACTGTTGGCACAGGCGTTGAGGCTTTCCCACTTCTCTTTCACTTCAACAGACTGCTTACGCATTGCTTTGGCAATCTTCTGTGCTTTTTCTTCAGGGGTTAACTCTGTAACAAAAAACCCCAGCTCTTATTACATTTCTAAAATAAGGGTACAATTTTTAAAAAACTGTCAGTTATTATTAAGCGGTGGTCTGCAACTCCCTCCAGCCATTCTGTGGACCACCCCATGCACTCTGAGGTGGCCCTTGAGACAAGGCCAAATTAACAAAGAAAAATACTAAAGACCTTTTCAGGAACAGTATTCAAACATGGCCAGATTTCAAATAAAAACTCAACTACTTCACTACTCCAGTGGTGGCTGAGCTGAAGGGTAATCCCATAAATAATTATTGATAACTATATTTAACACAACATTTAGAACGACTGGAAGAGAGACTTTCCAAGCCACCAGTCAGAAGAGAATATCATTGGTGAAAGAAGTGTGTTAAACTGATAAGATTTAAATGCTACCTGCAGTACCAACTGCCTACAACAGCAAACAAATTAAAACTGTTAACACTATCAGTCAGAAAAAAACATACCACCATATCAGAGATACTAGTGAAATGTGCAGGACTCAGAAACAGGTTTCGGACGTTCATTAACACTTCCTTCAAAAGAAAGGGTCTAGCACTTAGAAGCCTAAACATGATTTTGTTCCTTGGTATATAAAACCAGATCTGGAAAAAGTCTTCCTGGCTTAAGCCCTCCTTTGAAGAAATGCTCCTGAAAAAACTGATGAAGGAGATAAAAAGTCCACTTCTACAGGGAAGCCTTTCACTTGCCCTCAAGAGATGGTTTACTGTCCCACCCTCTGCACCCTCTGAATATGAAGAGCTATTCTTCAAAGGCAAGAGGCAGGAAAGGAGATCTTACAGCTGCTTTGAAGACCTAGGACTGGGGAAACTGGGATGCAAAAGTTCACTCTTGTAACAAGTGCTCCAAAGGGGTGTGTGGAGGATGTCACCCAGCAATAGCTTTTTTGCTAATAGCAGCTGAGAGCAATAGGGTATCTAGGAAAGCGGAGAGGACTGATGTGGAGGGCAACATTATTTATAAGCCTTGGAAAAGTTTGTAAAATACATGAAGCCATTGCCATTTTTGAAGATGCCCCCCCCCCCAAAAAAAGAAGTCTCAATTCATTTACAATTTTACAAGTCTATTGATTACAAGCAGGAACCAGCTCTGTAATGTAAACCTTACTATTTCTGGATCCAAGAAGCATTGTAATGGAATGATAGTGAAATGCTAGCTGGCTGGATAGCTCAGTGGTTTAGGCCTCTGGCTGCAGAGCCAGAGGCTGTGAGTTCTATTCCCCACTTGTGCAGGAGAGGTAGGCTTGCAGCCTTGGGCAAAAGCTGCACAGTCCCAGGGCATCTCCAGAAAAAGGGAACAGTAAACCATCTCTGTGCAGTCTCTACCTAGAAAACTCTGGAAATAGTAGCCAGAAATCAGAACCTGACAGCACACAATTATATTATTACCAAATGTTAAAGATAATGCAAATTCCATGTGTTTATCAATAAGCATAAACAAGCTAAACTCATAGAAGAATGTTAGGTCTGTGTTGAAAAGGTAATAGAGGCTTTTACTTCATCATAATGGTCAGGAGTTTACAATTAGCCAACTGCTGAAGATTATGATCACTCTCTGGTTCAAAAAAAATCTTGGGTCCAATTCCAGCAAGGTAGATTGCAATTAAAAGTTATTATAAATACATATTTTATTTCAAGGTTTTTAATGTCACAAAATAATCTTCACCAACTTTCTCATTAAGTATTGTTAAGATAATCAGGATTCCTGTTTAACCACACCATGAAACTATTATTTGAATTAAATTTTAGATTTTGGATTAACCCAAACCCCACTTAATCTTAAATGCAGTTGATGATATAAGGAAATATTTTGAAGGCTGCTAGCAAAGAAGAATGAACTATAATGGAGCACATTCCAAGGCCATTTAATCAAATTCTTACTCTTAGCTAGAGTTTGAACAAACAGGACTTTTTCAAAAGTGGATACTTCCATAAGGCACATGGCCTGAAATCCTGTTTCTTAGTGTAACAACTGAAGTAGGTTCATTGAGTCAGTGGAGACTCAATGTGAATCATCTCCTCTACATGTTCCATTGATTCACTGGGCTTACTGTAGTTGGAAAATACTACGTCAAGCCCAGGATTTCAACCACCAGTTCAGTGGCAGGAATTCTGTTGCTTTGTGTAGTAAGTTATACTGGAGGAGGCCTATCGAATCAGTGGGGATTTGGTGAGTCAACTTCACTTTAGTAGAAGTTAAAATAATTCAAATGGGCCTACCCTAAACTTATTACAATAAAGGAAGTAGCAACTAGAGTAGGCCCATTTGAATCAACAGAACTTACAAGGGAGTTAATTCACCAAATCCCCTTTGATTCAGTGAGCCTACTCTAGTGCAATTTACAATGCTAAGCAACAGGATTTCAGCCACTGTACCTCATTTAACTGGAAGTAGCATGTACTGTATTATTTTCAATTTTAAAAAAGGAAAACTTATTTCATAATATTGTTATTTTAGAATTTTAAGGACTGACCTATATAAAATTATATGTGATGGTGATCACTACCATATATGGCTTTTAAAATGGACTAGACAACTTCATAAAGGGCAAATTTATCAGTGATTGGTAGCCAGGATAGCTAATATACAACCTAGAGGTTTGAAGAGGCTTATCTTTGAGTTGCCAGGGAAGAACAATGGAAGAAAATCATTTCTCTTTGTATCTTTTTGTGAACTTCCTTGAAGTACCTGGTTCACTAAAATGACTTTTAGTCAGAGTTTGGAAAACCTGTGATTTTGGACTATACCTCCCAGAATCTTCCAGTCAGCCTTGCCACTTTCTGCACTGGTTGGGGATTCTGGTAGCCCAAAGAAGGCAACTTATCCAAACTCTGGTAATAGGATGCTATACCAGATGGACCTTTGGTCTGAAACACCATTTTTGCGTTCCTGTTCTCATTACAAAAACCAACAGCTTTATAGGCTGGAAAACAACCGAAACACAACTCATGAATCATGGCTTTGTAAATAGCTGAGGAAATCAGTTTGGGCCCAGTCTAAAAGGAGGAGCCAACAAAATCACAATGAGGGACATGGAGAAAGAAGAATTGGGCATACGTTTCACCAAAGGTATGTAATTTTATATGGTTTCAACCGTATAGTAATTAAGAGCAAGATTCTTCAGATTTTTTAGAAGACATTTGACAGGCAGGTTTAATTTAATGTTGCTAAGGACTACTGCACTTTTATATAGGTTGTATTCTTGTTTTGCGAGTCCTCGTTTTCTTTTCATATAAAAAGAAACAGGACTGCTTGTAAATTTGATTTCAAAAAGGCATTTATTGAAGCCAGACACATGCACTTTTATGAGCCATAAAGATGCTTGCAATCATTCCCTTAGATATGTTCATTCCTTTTGTGTCAACATGCTTGACATTCTGATGTTCCAGAATGTTTAATGAGTAAGCCATTAATTAATTCCTGAAAAGCTAAGACCACATTCATTATTACTGGGAGCGCTGAAAAAAAAAGTGTTAACAGACAAGAAATATGTCGGCATCAACAGTTTTTTGGGGGGGAAATGTTTTCTCACATACTGGCATGGTAATACTGAACTCATTTTTACTAAGGCAACCCTCCTCCAACTGTACACTAATAGTTTTCTCTCTTTTTGTGCTATGAAATTTGTCTGTTTTTAATCAGGATTCATTATATTATCACCACTTCAACAGCTGCTCAGAAATTATGAAACACTCTGCTCACCCATCTATTTATTTGCTAAAGGAGAAGATATCTTAAGTGAACTTGTCAAAAGGCAAAGAGAGGGGATCCCATCTGTCTCCCTGCTCCAGTTTGGAAATTATTCAAAAGAAAGTTAATGTAGTTCTAAAGGTTTACTAAGTCTCTGGAGAAAATGCACAAGAATGGGATTTCAAAAACAATTTAATTTCCAAATAAGAATTTCTACTTCTAGTTAATGCAAAAATGATAAACAATATGTAAGTGTGACTTCAATTGAGTACTAGCCTAAAGCATGTGTGATGCAAATGCCTGTCCACCTTACTGAGATAATCAGGATTAGGGTTAGGAAGTAAAGGGTTAGTTTGAATAAGCAGTAGCTCTCAGTCTGTAGATGCTTGGCTTTCAACTCCTAGAAGTCTATCCACTACGGCCAACAGTAAGCGATTCTTGGAGCTCAAGTCCGAAACAGGTGAAAGACAAAGGCTGAGAACCAGTCATCTAGACTGGTGGTTCTGAACCTTTTTGAAAGAAATGCCCCCTTGAGCCATTGAGGAAGTTATCATCGCCCCCTGCCCACCACAGCGGCGGCAGCACCGCATCCGCTGCCAGCACTAATTGCTCTGGATCCGCCTGCCTGATCTGCTGCCAGCACCGCGGCTGCAGCCACCTTCTCAGGTTTGGCTTGCTCCATCGCCCCCATATTGCCCCCCTTCTGTTCCTTTGCCCCCTCACTGCCCCTTTTCATTCCATTACCCCCCTGAAAAATGAAATCGCCCCCTGGGGGCTGATATTGCCCAGGTTAAGAACCACTGATCTAGACAGATTATTCTCTATACTGTAGTGCAGTGGTTCCCAACTTTGGATCCCCTTGGACTATAACTACCAGAAATCCTAGCCAGCAGAGGTAGTGGTGAAGACTTCTGGGAATTTAGTCCAAGAGCATCTGTAGACCCAAGGTTGAAACCAGTGACTGTTCTGGCTTAGCTGCCTTCTCCAACCTGCTATCTTCCATACATTTAGTGTCAGCTCCCATCAGCCCCCAGTCAGCATGAACAATAGCCTGGAAGTTTAGGAATTCTAGTCCAAAACATCTGGAGGACAAAAAATTGTAGAAGGCTTCATATTGGTCACTACCCTCCACTGAGTTGTGGCATTTAAATCCCAGCACCTTTATTCTGCCTCCTCCTCCTATACTGTATATTTATACACACACATGTGTGCCCACATACAAAGCCTAAAGGAGGAACACTATTTTCTTTCCCTTGGGAGTTCCACTGGAAACCCTGTGA